TGCTCTCCCCCCCCCCCCACTCTCCCCTTTGTCCCCTCCAATACCCACCCACAGAGAGGACTCCCCCCTCTTCGGATCCCCCCCTCTTGGCGCTCACCTGCGCTCCCCTTTGTCTTGGAAGTGGAAGCGCAGAGGCGTGGGAAAATCCCCGGCCGAATTCCCACGGGTGGAGGGAGGGGCCGGAAGTGGGGAGGAGGAGGAGGAGGAGGAACAGCGCCGGAGGGCCTGCCTTTCCTTCCTCTCTATCCCTCCCTCTCTCTGTGCTCCTTCCTTGCTAGCTCTCTCTCTCTCGCTCTCGCTCTAGGAAGCGCGACTCGTTGGCTTTAACTCTTCCGAGGAAGGGAGCCTGGCTAGGCGGGTCTCTCCATCCCCCAGCGCTTCTTTTTCAGAGGCCGAGGCTCTGCGGCTTTGGACTATAAACCCCATCACGCGCCCCAGCGTGTCCATTCCTGAAGAGATCTAATTTGGCCACAGGGACACATGCCTTGGTTGCATGCCGGCTGGATTACTATAATGTGCTCTACCTGGGGCTGCCTCTCGGAAATGGTTTGGAAACTTTTAATCAGGTCCAAAATGCTGCAGCCAGAAAGTTAACTGGGGCTGGTTACAGGGATCCCATAACCTGTTACAGCAGCTCCACTGGTTGTGGATCTATATTGTGCATAATCGATTGTGCACATTCTTCACAGCGTGCTACAGTGTGGCCTGCATCCTCTTCCTAATACGCCCGCTTGAAAGCGCTCCACAGGAGAACTCGGTGCAGAGATGCAATGGGGGCAGAAAGGAAGGACTTCTTTGCTGCCGACGGGGTCTTGCCCGTGTTCACTTGGATTCACTTCCACATTTTCTGCCATCGCCATTCCGATCTGTGTCCCATTGGTTTCGTCCCTGCCAGCTGCCCCTTGGACTCCACTTTGCAGGATGTGATGCTGCCGCAAGGGTTCAGCCAAGGGCCAGGGTAACAGAGGAACGTAAGTCCTGGCTCTTCAGACAGGCCTTCCCTTCTGTCAATACCTATTTTTAAGAGTGTTGTTAGCTGCCCAGAGTAGACTTCGGTCTAAATGGGCGGGATATACATTAAATAAATTTTTAAAAGTCAGTCAGTCAATCAGTATTTATTTATGGTTGTTAACCCAATCTTTTGCCTCATAATGGAAGGACGACAAGAAGGGGACCAGCTTCTCAGGACAGTTGCAGCCCAAAGAGTGGGAGCAAGCCACGGAGAAGACTCTCTCTCTCGGGTCCTCACCAAGCGAGCTTGGGCAGGTAGTGGAACTTCCCCAGAAGATATGAAAAGCCAAATAAATAAATAAATAATAAATAAATACATGGCTCGCATGGGGTGATATAATGCCTACCCTTACTCCTTTCTCCCGGAAGACAACTTCCCCATATTGTTTGAGCTCATTGATAACCTTGCTATAGTCCTACACCTTTTAAATTAATTACTCCCTCATTTAAGCTGTCCTGTACCCCTTACCCCTCAATCTTTCTACCCACCTTCACACCTTAGTCCCTCCAGCGGCGAACAGCAGTCCACACAAACACCTCCCATCAACCTGTGATTGCTAGTCCTCCCTATTTACATTCCCTCTTCTTCTCTGCCCTTCTCCCCACCAGATACCTCCACCTCTCCGGATCAATAGCCTTTCATAGCCATGCCTGAATTGACCACTACACATGAACTGGACCACGCCATGGCTCAGCTTACTTCCCCGGTCCACCAGCTCCATTTTTTCTTCCCAATCTCACTACCCTGATGGATGGATAGGCTATTATCAGTCATGGTACTATCTGGTTCTACATGAAATGAATTGGGCCAGCAGCTTCCACGACTGTGCTTCTTCTTTCTGAGCCTCCTTGGCGACAACCTTTACACCACACTTCCTCCCTACCTTTGCTGGCTCTAGGCATGGAATTGAGCCCCTGATCATTCTGACCCATCCCCTCTGCTTCTGGATTGGCCAGTCC